CCCAAAATGAAAGTTAAGGGTTGTACTATGAAAAGAATAAGAATTCTAGTGCATCATTTGTAATCCAAGTAAAGCAGACAGTATTTCTTTAATAACAAGCTCTACTTTACATACATATAGACGCTTGCCAAAGTAATGAAAAATAAGGAGACAAGCACAGTGACTAGAATTTTTTTTTCTTTCACTAACCTGTAGCAAATAGGTAACAAAACCATGAAAATTTGGGTAAAAAAACAAAGACTCTAAATTTGTTTGCTGACTAGCAATTCAATATGGTTACTTATCGCTTTAAGAAATGCACTAAACTGCAAATCAAGGTTCCGATTCATGAACTTATATAGCTTGAAGCACTTATCCATTCGTTTTAACTTTTATTTTAAGTGATCTTAGTACAATTTGTGCTCACGTCGTTGATAATTTTTTCAATGATTCCTGCTTTCTTCACAATCACAAGAGGAGGACAAAACGAAGAAAACTATAGAGAGTGGAGATAAAACCAGATATGACATCATGCCTGCATAAATTTAATGTCAGGACATATGGTGCTCTTGAGAAAATCATCATTTTCACTATAATGATGATATATACAGGAAGATGTTTTCTTTTAAAGTAGAACTTTTTTTCCTGGAGTTAAAAAAAACAATTACAATAAAAACAAATGTTTCTTGCATATTGAAATGTATGGTCTACTGTGTTTGAGCCAAGAAACAGTTAAAAGATCTATAGGACTGCACTGCAATATTGCCCCTGCGAAAATGTTGGATGAATATAGACATGCAACATATTGGTAATGGATATAGCTGATATGTATTGTTCAGAAAATATTAAATACGTTACAAGCTAAAACATAGACATACGACATCAACAAATAAATGGAAAACTGAGTAGTTTAAAACAACAATTTAACTTTCGGATTACCCCATAAGAGTAGTAAATACCCGCTTGTCCAAACAGAAAAATCCATTGAAATGAGTCTGAAAAGTACCCTCCAGAACCAAGCTGACTTGAAAATCTATATTTTCCTGCCCAAAAAAAAATAAAATCAATCAATCAATTAATTATACCTCAATACCACACATTAATCATAGAGTTTAATATCTAAAAAAAAAAAAAAAGTGACACCATATATTAGAAAATTAGGATTCTTATAACCTGGGACAGACAAGAGTACCTTGTTCTACATTGTAAAAATTCCCAAAAATTGTGATAATTGAACATAATTTAATACGAAAAAAGAAAATATTTATCCTAATGAATAGTAAAATTCAAAAATTTACCAGCATTAGATAGTAAAATTTGGGAACTTCGCTGAATTGGAGTAGCAGGAAGTGATTGAGGTGAAAAACGGAATCTTCCAAGCAAATTAGCAGATGCTTTTCGAAGAAACATCATTTGATTAAATCCGAAAATGAACTATATGAATTTGAAAATTAAAGAAAAACTATGAATTTTGTTGGGTTTAAATTTACTAAAACCATAAACCCTTTGAAGGAGACGAGTCGGTTGGAGTTTTTTCATTTAAAAGGTACCTCGTATATAAATTTTATCCGAGGTAATTTACAGAAATATAGCCAGTATATTTCTTTACAGAAATCCCTTTAAAATATAGCATCTTTACAGAAATAGCCAGTAGGTTCCACTATTTGCTTTCCTAGCCAATATATGGTATAAACTAATTATACACAAATTGTATATGGATTAAAGGTTAATTCTTATCTAAAATAAACTCATTCTACTAAATAAAATTTGGATCAAACTTCTATAATATAAAGTTATCAGAAAAATATTTGAAATTTTAGATTTTTATGAGTATTTCTATGTGGATTAACGACTTTAATAGTGTGCCACAAGTATATACCGTCCAAGGACTAATAACTAATAAGAAGAAATTCATCACATTGTACCTACAAGTTCAAGTCCTACAAGATTTTACATATTTTACGACAATGATAACAATAATAACAACTAGTTACATGTTCAATTTTCACTTCATTAGCCCCAAAATATAGAAAGAAAACATTTTATGCTTCAAATTCAACGTTACTTCTAACGAATGACATGTACTTGAACAATTACAATATGTAAACTTTGATGAAAAATATGTACATGTTTATCGTTAACCTATATCGCAACACTCATTTTTTATCTAGCTCCCGTTTGGCCATAAAATTTGGGAGCTTTTTTTCAAATGTTGTTTTCAAGTATCTATTTGTTTATAGATTTTAATCATATTTTAGCGGATTTTGAAAACAAAATCATGTAATCCCAAAAACAACTCTAGAGTAGTTTTTGAAGTTTTTTATTCACAAAATTTCAAGTTCTTTTCAAGTAAAATATATGTCCAAATACAATTTCAACTTACAAAAACTATTTCTCATCTCATCTTCGAAAACTCATCTTTTCATGTTTCAACTAGGGGTGGGCATAATATGGGCAAATACGATATTTTTGGATTTTCGGATTACGGATTGGATTTTGGATTTAATTTTTGAAATTTTTGGATATTGGATTTTGGATTTTGGATTTTTGGATATCCGAAAATCTAAAAAATTTATACTTTATATTTAATCTATTACCCATATGTCAGTAATAATAAGTTCAATACTCTACCCATTAGATATTATCTCATATATTCAATATTAATTATTAAGTTACTGTTAGAATACTTTTTACATGAATATGATTTTACTATTGCTACTTTTTATCGGTCTATTAATGTCTCTGTTGTATTTTTTTATAATAATTCTATTACTTGAATAGTTTATTTGGATGATTGCGGTAAGAATGACAACTTTCGGGCAATTTAACATGAGTACTTCATTTGGATATTTATTTTTCAAAAAAATATTTATTTTTGTAAAAAGTAGAAACATTTCAACTTATACACTTAAAACCGAAAATCTATAATATCCAAACCGATTAACCCGAAACCGAACTTAAAAAATCATATCCAATCCGAACTAATTTGGATTGGATTTTGATTGTCATTTCTTCAATCCGAAAACCGAAATTCTCATATTCAATCCAAACTGCCCGAATGTCCACCCTTAATTTTAACCAAATCTATGTCCAAACGCTACGTAATTGACGAAACAAGGGTAAAAAAACAAGGAAAAATACAGCAGTTGTCACTTCTCAAAACAGCAGTAAATGAGCAACAGAACCAACCCTTTTATAATTTGTTATTAATAAGAATAACATTGTTTTGTTTGTAACACCATTGCCAAATCATAGGCAATGAAATCAGCATTGCTGTATGAAAATACAACTTCAACTGGAATAAAAGAAGAAATAAGAAAAGGCCAGACTATCCTAACTAAAGACACAGGCAAAGCGAAAGGGCTGTTTCATAAATCAATCCTTTTCTATCCCAAATTGAGCAAAACCAGAAACAAGCAATTCATACTAAAAAGCTTCAAGGTTTGCAGATGATGGTAGTGTCCGCGATCATGGCAGTAACGACGTATGGATCCATATTTGAAGCCGGCCTTCTGTCCTCAAAATATCCCTTGCCAGCCTTCTCTGTGTCCCTTCCTACACGGACAGATGCACCGCGGTTGGCAACCCCCTGCACATGCCATATGAAGGTGTTATAAATCATGGCAGTACGGGTTTCATTTTATATAACGGTGTTTAATTGGACTTCCGGAAACAACCAGGTCTGCGTACATACTACCTTCCCCAAACCCCACTAGTGGGATTACACTATGTGTGTTTGTTGTTGGTGGTGGTGTTTAATTAGACTTGGAGACTAAAAAAAAACTATCAACAAGAAAGACCCCATTCGAATTGTTTAAACAACAGAGAAAGTTCAAAGTCAATCTCAACTTCCTAACTATAATCATAGTTGAACCTCCAGCACCAAAGAAAAAAGCAGCCAAAATGAGAAATGATGAGAAAGATAAAATGTTTATATACCCATTTGAAGGTGCTGATGTTGGCTGTTTCGTGCTTTCCAGTGAGACGACGCTCATTGCCTTCACCATATGCAGCAATGTGCTCTTTGTGCTTCAGGCCAAGCTTCTCAATAGCCTTCAAAATGACTTCATAGCCTCCATCTTCCCTCATCGACTTGGTGCTGGAAATTTTTTTAAAGTTTACTCATAGGAACAGATGGATATAAAGATAAAAGTCGAATAAATAAGTGTTATTCCTCTTACCTGTAGTTTGTGTGAGCACCTGCACCGTTCCAATCGCCCTGATAACAAAGGAAATATTCAGCATTAATACACACCTTATTCCAAATGATAACAGTTCATACCAGCAACGTAAGTAGTCCCATAGGCGGAGACCAGATTGTATCCAACATGTTTCCACAATCAAATCAAAGAACTTGTAAGGTACATAGTAGAAAGCTCACCGGAATAGGCTTGGGGTCAAATGACACAACCACTCCAGCAATCTCCGCAATCCTCTGTTTAACCACCAAGTCAATAAGTAATTTGCATTCAAGCTCAACAAAATAGCAAGAAAATTGGAATAAAACGGACCAAATGGTCGATAAATGTCATCAGTTAAAAGCTGACAATACCTCAAGAATGTAACGAGCTACCCACACTTCATCACCGGCTGAGATGCCAACAGAAGGTCCGACTTGGAATTCCCACTGCATAAGTTTAAACAAAAACACATTAAATATTTGTGAAATCGTTCAATTATGGCTAGATGGGAAAACAAGAACGCCTCTATACCTGTCCGGGCATGACTTCTCCGTTGATACCACTGATGTTAATCCCAGCATAAAGACAAGCCTTGTAATGGGAGTCCACAATATCACGTCCAAAGGCCTTATCAGCTCCGGTTCCACAGTAGTATGGTCCCTAGAAGCAACAATGTATATGGCCAGATAGACAGCTAAGTTAGCTAACTCCGCATTAGTACTGTCCCTAGATGAAACAGTAAATTAGGTAAACTCACCCAAAAAAAATAAAGTATTAGGACCACAGACATTGGATCAATCAACGAGAGAAATAAATTCTCTAGATTAAGTCAAATGAAGTGGTTTGTAGTCACAGAAGTAACACGAATCTTTGCAATTCAACCAAAGTTATCGGAAACTAACGCAAGGTAACTTATTTTCATTTCATTAAATCAGGCTTCTCAAATTCTTTGATTCTCTTTTTCCAAACATAACAGCAGAGATACAAACTTCTTTTGAAAAGAGGGAAGGAAGCGATACCAAGAAGAAGAAAAATAGGCGTAACATTAAGGATACTAATATGTTGCAATAGTTTTTCCACTTTTAGTTTCTTCTGTAATGCCAGCAGTCTAAGAAAATGATCTATGACAAAGATACAGATAAGCCAAATACAAAAGAACAATGTCTAAAAGACACAGGAAACAGAAGAAAATTGCAGCAAAATGAAGAGTATTAATAATCTACCTGAGGTCCAGGGAAGCCTCCAATAGGCCAGCCTAGAGGCCAGTTAATATCCCTTTGCAACAAGGTGTATTCTTGCTCAATACCATACCTAATTAATACACAAATTTTTCCAAACAATCAGGAAATCTTCAAAACGATATCGATACAAAGAAAAAATCTGTAATTTAAAAGCTAAATATAATATGTCAATACCAGGGTTCCTCAGCAACAACATCAGGGTTGCTGAAGATCTTGGCAGCAGCATGCCTCTTGTTTGTCGGGATAGGCTCGCCAGCAGGAGTATAGGCATCACACATGACCTTCAGTACAAAAACAAATTAAAAAGAATCAAACAAACGATTCACAAAAAGGATTTAACTAACATATATGGATAGTGTAATCAATGTATTGAAGGGGAGTCTTGGCAGAACTGGTAAAGTTGATGCCATGTGACCAAGGTCACGAGTTCAAGCAGTAGAAACAGCCTCTTGCGTAAATACAGGATAAGGCTGTGTACACTGCCATGTGACCAAGGTCACTAGTTCAAGCCGTGGAAACAACCTCTTGCCTAAATACAGGATAAGATTGCGTACAATAGACCCTTGTGGTACTGCCAAGGGGTTCAAAAAAAGGAAAAAGTTCAAAAGGTTTGGCTAGTGGGAATAGAACCAATGACCTTACAAAGGTTTTGAACCCTCTTGACTACTAAACTATGCTTTTGGGTTGTGTCAAGTGGATTCAAAACATAATATATAGAGGTAAAAAACAGATTTTGCCTTGCACAATGTAGTTTTTCGGCGAAGGGGGTTCGGGTGAACACCCTTCTGCTCCCCTAAATCCGTCCCTAGAGTCGGGCCCTTCCTCGGACCCCGCGCATAGCCAGAGCTTAGTACATCAGGCTGCCCTTTTGGTATAATTAGTGTATTATGCACATCAAGTTATTTCTCATATTACTAATCTCGTTTTTTATGGACAGCTACTTATAGTTATCATTTAAGTGACCGTAAAAACTCGTTTATACTATCAATGTATAGAAAAGTTAACTCTTGTCAAATTTCCAATAAAAGTCAACTATAAAAATTTGAATACAAGAATTAATGATATGAAATAAAAGTATCTGCAACCAACCAAGATATTGTTGCCTCTTCTGAATGGATCCTTAAAGATAGCTTGAGGGCTGTATAAAAATATCAATTAAATGACAGTCAGAAAATTCACTTTACAAAAAAATATTAAAAATTTAGCAGATTTACACATTAAAAAATGGCTACTTACTATAAGATCACTTCACTATCTTCTCCAGGAGCTTGACCTGTGCTAGATCCATCATAGTTCCATTTGGGTAGTTCTGAAGGATCAGTAACAGGACCAGAAAGAGTCTGTAAATCAAGAAATTAAAAATAAATAAAAAACATATAAGCAAAAATCACTATTCCAAAATTCAGAAGAAAAAAAAACTTAAAAAATTATATATAACATTAAATCAATAAAATAATTTATACCCTGGCCTTGCTCCTTAAGTCCATGCCTGATCCACCTATCCTGATAACAAACAAAGGATACATACAAAAAATATACATTAATATTAACATCAAAAGGTACAATTTTTATCAAAAGGAAAAGTGATAAAACAGACATAAAATCAGATCTTTCTCCAAAAAAACAACTTTAAATTTTCTCCATTAGCTGTAGGAAAAATTTAAACCTTAAAACTATGCATAATCCAATGGCTTTGGAAATTCAAACAAGAAAAATATTTACTTTTTTATGCAGAAAGTGTTTTGTTTTTTACTCATAGCAGATATTCTCATTAAAGAGGAAAACTACAAAAGAAACAAAAAAACAAAAGGAAAAAAATGGAATCTAATGAAATTGACAGATTGATCAACTTAAACACTCTTAATAATTCACTCAAAAAAAAAAATCTTTACAAAATTAGCTGGCCAGATTCAATATTTAGTTTTTCTAAATGATATACATTGATTATACATGGATTATTTATGTAATATATATATATATACACACACACTTTATTTATACATCCGCTAGCTAATTTTTACTAAAAGAATTAACAAAAATAGCCGCAATCAATATATGATCTATATATACCGGCATGGAATCTAACCGGCTATTTGTGTAACAATATTTAAATTAATTGTTCAAATAAGAACTCCACTCAGCACTACTCACTAAATCTCATACTCAAAATCCAGAAGAAAAAAAAACAGAAAAACTAAAACACAAGACAATACTTTGAGAAATAAACACAGAAATCAATCTTAAATAGCTTTAAAAATCATAAGATCCCTAAAACAGGCAAAAAAAAACTCATAAAAACCAGAAAAAACAAATCTTTTTCATGTTTAGTGTAAAAACAGAGCAACTAAATTATTAATGCAGAAAAATAAAATAAAGAAAACTAACCATATGTATTCAGCGATGATTTTCTGGGTAGAATCAGAGAGATTGAGGTTGATAAGATCTGAAAGCGGAGACATAATGAAAATAGAAGTCTAACAATTCTCTGATAAATTAAAGAGATAGAAGATAATTTTGTTGTAGAGGCAGAATAGTTTGCTCTGTTTATATAGGCGATTTTCAGGGTTGGTTGTATTAAAATATTAGGACTACCTAATTATTCCCTATTTTTCTATTTTAATAAATATGATTGAAAAGGAAAAAAAATTAAACTTCGTAATATATTTCTACGACATATCATGATTTGAAGCTAATGGGTTCGGATTCTAATTCTTTTAAGTTATTAAGTTCTAAATTAATAATTTATATATATTTAATAAACTTTTAAAGGTTAAATATAGAGTTTGGACAAAAATTAATGGGTTCGGCCGAACCTGCATTCAAAACTCTAATTCCGTCCTTGCTCCATATTTAATTATGAATTTAAGTAACTAATTCTATTAGTGTAAGAATTTTTACGCCATCATATCACCTTTCTTATCTTTAATTAATTGTTTATTATAACATGTAAATTTATTTGATTTTTAAAATCAAGATTTTACCTTTAAGAAGTTTATTTATAAATATTTTTTAGGTGATATAATAATATAAAAATATTATTTGCGTAAATTGTGTATATTATTTTAATTCTTTAATTATTGTAGACAGCTGACATTTTGAGAAAATAAATAAATAGGACAAGTGGGTTGTTCCGAAGAGTAGGTAACTGATGAATACGAAAAAGAGAATCCAATTTCAGGATTCTATTGCCCTTTTACCGGCTAATTGACGTGCCGGTATTATTTCTTTTCTTTTCTTAATTTTGTTTTAACTCTGTGTTTATTTGACCAAATTGAGATCTTACAATTGTTTGGTGATTAGGTGAAGGTTGAGATGGTCTTTTACCACAAGGTAGCGGTCAACTTAATCTTTTTTTTACGGTAAAAAAAAATAACGGAATTTAAAGTACGATTATATAAAATGCATAAGAAAATAATAAAGGGAGAGATGATCGTGGGGAAAAGGAGGAGGATTCGTAGTTCATGTTTAACCAGAGGTCTTGATGGTAAATATATTTAATTTTTAGTTTGAATTTAGATATTATAATGTTTGAATTAGAAATAAAATTTGCTAATCGTGTGTTTTAAGTACTAAAAATATAAACGTTTTAGAGCTAAATGACGAAAGAGAATTGTGGTAATGTAAGAATCAAACATAAAAATATTGTATTCCTTGTGTTGTCCATAAAAATGATTTCCTTTATTTCGAAAAAAATTCAAAAATGTATTTGTCTGTGAATTTTTGTAAGTTTTTAAAAAGAATTCGACAATAAGTTTTTCAAAAACCAAAAAGTGGTCAAAATTTTCAAAAAAAAAAATCATACTCACAAAACTACAATATTTGTTCAAGTGAAATACATGTCCAAACATAATTTCAAATACCATTTTTCAACTTAACTCCAAATATTATTTTTTTCAAAAATTATAATTTTTATGTCCAAACGCCTATTAAATAAGCATTGTGTCAAACCTGAATTAAACAAAATCTGATAAGAGATTCATGTAATGTAAATTTAACTTAGGATTGAGGAGTAGAAGATTGAAAATTTACATAAAAATTACATCAAATCATAATTTCCCATAATTAATTATTTAAAATATTTGATAAATTCTAATTTTAAAAAATTATTTGCCAGATAATATTACTCCCTCCGATCCAAAATAAGTAATTTTTTGGCCTTTTTCTTGTGGTCTAAAATAAGTGATTTTTTCAGATTTCAAGAATGAATTAATTATTTTTTTCCTACATTGCCTTTGGAGTAACTAATGTTGAAATATGTGTTAGAAGTGTTTAATGTAAAGAGATAGTAAAAATTAATATGATCAATTTTATTATTAATTAATATTAAAAGATGAATTTCTTAATATATGTGAAAACAATCAAAAAATCAATTATTTTGGAGTAACTTCTCTCTTTAACAAAAAGGAGGGAGTAGTACAAGTACTTTTCAAACGTGGGAAATTTCAAAGTGGAAAAAATAAGACAAAGGCAAAAAGAGACTTTAAAGTTTAAATAAGGAAAAGTATAGATTTAATTTTATTTAACCACGTAAATACTCCTCACTTTGAGGACAATAAAGAGTTTTGACTCGTAATTTGTCCAATAACGAGTTAAATAATGGATTACTACTATACACCAACCTAGTTTAGCACTCCAATAAACCATGAAAAGTAGAAGAATGTGCATTAAAAAAAATTAAAGAAATGCATCATTAAACGAGTACCAAACAATGTGGAATACCACTTTATTAGCAGCTTTTTTGTTTTTCATTGATTATTGATTATACACATTGCACATAATAAGCACATGGCAATATTTCTTAAAGTAAATTTTACGAAAAGGTAACTTGATTAGACACCACTTTTCTAACATATATTATAATTGATAATCATAGTGTTCGGATTAATTTTCACGCATATCGACTAGTTTCATTAGGTATTTAGTATCTCTCACGAGTATAAATAACAACAATAACAACAAACTCAATATATTTTTACAGGTGGGATCTCGGAAGGATAGTGTATACACAGACCTTACTTATACCTAGTGAAGTTAGAGATGTTATTTTCAATACTCACGAGTATAGACATCAGAAAATTCTTATCAAGATTTGAACAGATAAAGGGGAATATTAGAAGTATGGTTAAGTTGTTTCCGTGTGACCTATAAGTCATGGGTTCGAGATGTGGAAGCAGCCACTAATATTTGTATTTGGATAGGTTGTTTGCATCACACCCTTGGAGTGCGGTCCATTTTCGAATCTTGCGTGAATGCGGTATACCTGGTATATCTGACTACATTTAAGACTTGGAACAGAAAGAAAAAAAAAGTAAATATTTTTGTGACGTACATAATAATCATAGATTCCAACTCAGTAAAACTAATTTTATGTAATTATTTGTATGTTTTACTTAGGGTTTTGCAGTTTTTTAAGAAAATAGATTAAACATCTAATTAATTATTTGTATGTTTTACTTAGGGTTTTGCAGTTTTTTAAGAAAATAGATTAAACATCTAATTAATTATTTGTATGTTTTACTTAGGTTTTTGCAGTTTTTTAAGAAATTAGATTAAACCTCTTGCATACTAAAAATGTAACTCAATACTATCAGACTGATAAGAGAATAATCCCAAATGGCCAACTGATTTTGTTGACGACAAATGCAGTCTGGTCATCAAAGTCATTATGGTCAATTAAATCTTATCTTTGTAATCTCAAATAGATTGCTAATATTAATAAGCCACGTTATTTGTTATATTCATTGAGATATTCTTTTTCCTTAAAAGTCTACTAGTCAAAATTAATACTCCTAATTAATACGCCCCATTTTCGGACTAACTTTTCATATTAATCCATCTTCTAAGCATGGCATATTTAATCAAATAGCATAATATAGTAATTTAAAAGGTTAATTACTCCAAAAAAAAAAATCACATTGGTAATATAGGTAAGGAAAGACAAATTGGGTAACCTTAATCATGTGATCACGGGACAACTCAAAATTGAACTCATTGTATTATGTATTATAATTCCTAAGACGATAGAAAAACTCATTTATTTTTTTTTTATTTTTTTTTTGGAAAATTCTCGAGTAAACTCTCGGCCGTTACCCTTTGAATGCACATTGGGTAACATGTTCACTATACAATATATTACAAATCGCGTAGGAGATATACACTGTACTAGACAAGCCCGGTGCGACAAGCTACAGCTGAAAAGGGTGCTGGTGAGGAGAATCGATCCCATGTCCCCCACGCAGGGGCGCCCAAAGGATCAAGCAACTAAAACAATAGCTTTAAGCCCCAAAATTTTGGGGAACCCAATTTTTTTTTCTATCCGTATTTGGTATTTGCATTGAAGCCCCTACTAATTTGAATTTGCATCGCATAAGGCTTAGTAAAAGTGAAAGTGCGCTCTAACAAGATATCATCTATCGGGCTCGAATCTGAAATATTTGATTAAGGTAGGTTATATCAAAGCCATCCCACCATATTTTTTTTGGAGGTGTAGCCCAATTCTTACCAAAAAAAATTTGTAAGTTAATTTTTTTTTAAAAAAAAGTATTGAGTATTTCAAAGTAGAAAGGTGAAATATTAAAATAATATCACTTTTAGTTTGTTGATACAACCATTTGAGCAAAAATCGGTGAAGGAGAATCACCCCCAAAACCCTTACCCTAAATATAAAATTTTAAGCTATTCACTAAGTACCAACACTCTTCTTTTCTTTTTATATTCATTACTAGAAAATTTGTAATAAACTTATATAGTCACTTTTTTTTGGGTCTCAAATAGTTCAAATCTCATTTTTAATATTTTTCGTCAGAAAACACATGTTACACTCTTATGCACTCTTTCTTGGTTTCTGCAAAAGTTTAAGTTTTTGATAAACTATATTGTTCCGTCAAAATGTATTTTTTTTCTATCGATTAGAAGAGCTGAAGAGTACTACGTACTGAATACGCTATATTGCGCATTTTTAATATTTTTTTTCATTAGGTTTCAAGCATTGGAACAAGTATACTGAAAAATAAAATAATTATTTCGACATTAAGTTATCAACTTCTTTAATCTGGTTCTATTTTTGAAGATTAACAATTTCTTAGGAGAGGTTAAATGATTTATAAAAAAAATATTAATAATTTTACATTTCAAAAAGCTAGAAACAAGGACTTTAAATAAAAAAAAATATATGAATTCATTTCAGAAAAAGCCTCCGATTAAATTTTGATTTTAGGCCTTCAATCTTGTTGAACTGTCACTGCTCTCACGTGAAAAACCACTCACTCAACCCCTGGAGGCTATAAAGTAAAAATTGCTGTGGAAGAATATTTGGTTTTACATTGAATTCAAACTGATGTCAGTAATGCTAATTTAATCTTCCCATTGTTCTTTTCCTATTATAATAAAGGTAAACATTAATACTTTAATCAAATATCTTTATTGAAGTCCAATGAATCAAATCTAAGTCGTACAAAATGTGAAAAGTAAAAGAAAAACTCTCAAGTCGTACAAAAAGGGACAAGTAAAAGAAAAGCTGTTCTAAATGT